CTGCCGTCCCTGTCCTGCCCCTGTGCTGTCCCTGTGCTGGCCAGGAGAGGTGAGCTGAGCTGGCAGCTCCTGCCCCTGCTGCTGCCAAGCACAGAGTTCAGCTGTATTTTAGTGTGTTCCAGAGGGCTGGAGCAGAAAACAAGGAAGCTGTTCCAAGACTGGAACTCTAGAAATCAGCTGGAGGAGACAGGGTGTACAGTCCCATCCCTCCTGCGCTGCCTGGGGACGGGAAAACACTCTGGGCGGGCTGGAAGATTTGGGAGCTGCTCAGATGGGTGTCATCCTGTCCCCAGAAGCCACAATAAGCCACAGAAAATGCTTTATAAGCTCATTTCCCCCCAACAGACAAAACAGAGAAGTGAAACTCCTGAGGCTGGGCTATTTTTGCCCTTATTAATGGCCCCTAAAGTGCTAATTACCACACTGGGGGCAGGATAAATTCTTGGAGTCTTTCCCTTCCAGCCCTCACAGTGAAAAACCAGCCATGAACGAGGAATTTTACCCATTTAGTCACGGGGGACATTTTTGGTGGCGTTTCTGCGGCAAAAACGCTGCCCCTGGGGGGGGGTGTGTGCAACAAGATGAGCTTTAAGGTCCCTTCCAACCCACACCATTCCATGATTCCATGATTCCATGAGCCCTGTAAACAGAAGTGTGGGTTTTTTGCGTGGCAAAGCCCCCGATTTCCCTGTAAATTTTAACCCCGTGCAGGAATATCTGCAGGGTCAAGGCCTCGAAGGGCAGATGAGTGGTAAGTCTCGTGGTAGGAATTCCCTGTGGAATTAGGGGTTGGATGGGTTCCTGCCGGGTTCCTGGAGGATGCTGGCACTTGGAAAGCAGTTTGTCCCCGAGTGAAGGCAGATCCGGGCACGGTGACAGCGACTCCAGGGAGCCCGGGCTGCCAGCAGGACTCAGAGATGTCCTTCCCCCGGCCCTGGTGGCCCTTTTCCCTCCTCCTCCTCTTTCCCCCCCCTGCTCCATGCTCGTCCCGCCTCTCTGAGCACAGGGGACGCTGTCGCCCCCATTTAACGCCGCAGACCCCGGACAGGGCCGCTCTCCGGGGCCATCCCCACAGGAGGGAAGGTGGGAACGGGGGATCTTCCCCCTCCCGCCCGAGGGCAGTGGCCTC